GAGAGTTCAGGGCCTGCCCAGGACTTTGATTAATGACTATCACATTCATTTCTGAAAAACACTTGGCTGTTTGTTTTGGAGGCAACAGGAGAGAACTCACATAGCCTGGCCGATACAGTTCCCACGATGCCGTGTGGATGAGGAGTTCTGGAAGCGGTGATATAAAAACAGCACATTCATCTTGCATATTCAGGCTGGTCTCAAGAACACTCCTGACCCATCACCTGAGAGTTTTCTTTTGAAAAACAACGCTTTGCATCTGGAGATTTGATCTATTTTGATCATTGATTCACCAACTTTTTATGTGATGAAAAGCTTGTTGTGCTGTTTGTTGTGCTGGTCTCAGGAGGGAATATTGATTTAGGATGAGTGCAGAGTCACAATCCGGTGTGACTAATTCTTCATTACAGTATTGTTCTTCATCTTGACTGACACCATCTTTCTTTGTGTGCAATTACGGAAAAACAGGTTCCTCACGTGAAAAAACGGAATGGCTTTAAAGCGTTGTTTTCAACACCTTGCTCTATAAATCATTTTCTGAATGCAGATCCTGAAAATGTACTTTTCCACCAGAACAACAACACATATAATGTTATGGATTCATAAAAGAATGCACAGAGAAACATAAAAACATACATTGAAGACCAAGTTCACTAAAAACCCTTTATGCTCTATATAAGATCGGTCACTCTGAGTTTCATATGCAGGATGAATGTGAAAATAGTCCTCTACCCCTATGTCCTGTATTAGCCGCTGATAGAAACCAGATGAAAAAACGCTCGGATTGGAAAGGCAGTCAGTTTCACGTCACATTGAAAATGAACATTCATGGACACAGCCATCTTGGGTTGTGATAGGGAAGGCTGTTGTTGGTTAAGCATCCAGCAAACAGTGGAGAATGTCTCGGCTAGTAGAAGCTAACTGTTAGCATTAGCAACTCCACCACATAACAGAACTCCTTCAGGCTTGTGTTATTTGTGGAGATAAAACATCAATGTTGCAGGGCAAATGGAGTCAGTGGGAGAGTTGTGTTGCTGTTATCCAATCAGAGGCGAGATCTCCAAATATCATGACTATTAATGATTAAAACTCTAAATTCCTCCATTGTACGCCCCTTCTCCTTCGTCTTGAGCCTGATTTATACTTCCCTGTCCACGTAGGTGCGGAGACACGCAATGCCACTATGCGTCGGCGCAAGGTTTCTCCAACGGGTTCACAGAGGATGACGGAGACATGCCCAACATTTTAAACATCTGTTGAAAGTGGCGGAGACTGCAAAATTGTGATTGGTAAGGACACCGCTTCCTGTATATTCATCACCAGCCCCAACGTTGCCCTGTTAAAAACTAAAAAGATTTTTAGAGGTAGACCCAGAACAGATTGAAGAGCGCATCGTGGAAAAAGTCAGAAAATATTAATGCTTATTCACCCGTGACTGAAGGAGTACAAAATGCGGAGCAAATGTGGACGGAAATGACTGGAAACATGGGTTTAGAGGTGGCGACCACATGAAGCGGTGGAGGAGAATGAAGGACAAATTTGTCCGCATTAAAAAGTCTCTGAAATATATAAACACATTAGTAAATACACTATTGTAGACCGGATACATGAGTGTTATGGTAGCAGGATACCACAGAACAGCGCTACGCCCTCTGTTGTCCTGGCGGGGAATTGTTTCGCAACACTCCGTTGCTTGAACAGAAGTTTGCATGTAAAAACCTTTCTGACACTCTGTGTGCGTCTCTCTGTTGTGGAGCTCATGGAGAAGTATAAATCAGGTGCAACTTTACTTCCTGAAACAGGAGCTTCAGAGCTTTTTTCCAAGAGAATGACTCACAAGGCGTCTATTCATACCAGAGACCACTGCAGGTTTATTGAAGTAACGAATGAATTGGAGCTTTAAAGGCTAACTTTGAGAGGACAATGTAAGAATATTGACATTTGCACACAAATACAACCAAGCATATTAGTCATCTGATTTGTTTTTACTCAAAGAAATTATATACAGCATAAAAACGTGCTTTTCATAATCAGGTAATTCAGATTTCCTTCCCCCTCTGTTGCAAAAATAATGGTGAGGGCCATTAGTATGGATGTAATTACAGCTAACTACAGTATTGTCCCATTGATATAATTTATATTAGCTGCACTGGCTGGCACTGAAATGCCAAAAGATGTTATACTACGCAACTCCCAACAATGGAGCAAATCTGCACTCCACTAAAAGCAACTGAGGTTAAATAGTAAGTCCTAATTAGCCGACGAACATGGCTGCAGGAGTGAATCTGCTACTATAAAACAAACAGAGATGTGTGGGGGGAGGAAAATAGGCAGAACATGTCCAGTTGTAAAATGTTAATCAAATAATGAGATTTTCCTGATGGATAATTAACGGTTTAAGAGCGTAGAGATGAATGATGTCATTCTCTTGCTATTTGGTTTACTGTGCAGTGATTTTCTTTACTAACTAAAAACACAAAGTCCATCAATGAGTGAAAATAGGTAGAAACACTCTATATGAGTTATATTTAAGTTGGCAGTAGAGTAAATGTTGTTTTTCTATGGCCGATATGTATTGGCAATTTTTGGGCCAATTTTCATGGCCGATGTTTAGACATCTTCTACCTTATTTTCCTGCTAAAATGTCACTAATGACATCAGCTGATGCACAAAACATTTGAAGCTGAATTAGTTTCAGAAAAAAAAGGTAAATATCGGCCGACCAATATATCGGTGTACCCCTAATCATCAGTGCAAAATCCATCCATGTTCATTTACCTGCAGGACTTTTAGATTAGTGATTATTTTAATGTTAAACATGCTTGAAGGACATTATGAAAATTATATTTAAAAATCAAATCTGCATCTGCTTTGGTTTTTATAATGTAACAAAAATATTAGTTAAATGTAATAGATAGAAAATAATCTGAGAATATACTATGTTTATAACATTTAATACACAGGTTATGTAGTAAAACAGCTATTTTGGTTTGTTTAGATTTTTTTTGTGTTTCTGCCTCATGCAGGAAACACTATAAAGGTGAAAGGAAAGCCAGGAGGAACAAATATTTCATCTGGACACTTGAGAAGGAGTTGTCTGTGAGGTCACCTATTCAGATTAGGTGTTTATGTTTTGACAGCTTCTAACAGAGGCAGGAATCAGCTGATCAGGCTGGATCAGCATGTTTTCCTCTAGTTTCAGATGCAATGGGGAAGAGTGCAAAAGAGGGGACAATCCTCCCCCACCAGGAGTATGAATAGTACCAGAAGACACCGGGACACAGGGAAGGATCCTACTCCATCATTCAGGGCAGCAGCAGCAAAGCCTATCATCACATTATTAAAGGGTCCTGCAGATTAGAATCACCATCAGAGGCAGGTGTCTCCACGGCATGCGTGATAATGCGCTGCCAGCCCCCACTAAACTCTCAGGAACCTGCTGAGGCAATCCGGAGGTGGCTTGGAGCCCCCTCTGCTTTGGTCTGGTCTGCACGGGGGTCGGGTTTGGAGGGCCCCTGAGCAGCAGGGTGTCTCTTCTTCCATCGGCTCCCTGAACACTGACACACAGGATAAAAAAAACAAAACAAAACTGTAATGGCAACTCTTTCCTCCATGCTCCTCCTGTCTGCATGGGCTGCAGCAAGCAAATGCTGCTTTCACCTCATCCAGATAAAGAGCATCAATGATGGGCACCTGCTTTCATGGAGCTGCCTGGTTCTGGGCGTGTTAGGCTCCCAGCACCTTGGTGCTGCACGTAATTCCCTATCAGCGCTTTCTGACAACACTGCTGACAGCAGATACAGAGGAATTAGTGTCATAATATTTGTTTTCACACGCCTTATGCCATGAAGACACGAGACAATATTTTTAATCAACAATTCAGTGACTTGTTTTGATCTTGCTCCTTTTTTCATTTCTGCAAGGCGGTGTCATCTGGATGCTTTAGCTCCGTTTCTTGTTGCCAAAGGTGAATTAATTGATGTTTTTGTGATTGTTGCTCTAGATTGAACCAGATAAGAGAAAACTGATGAGATAGTGTCAGCTGCTGTGATTAAACTGCAGGTTTGTGATGCTTAGGTGTTACATTTAAGATGTTTTTGCATTTTTATTCATCAGGTGTTTTTTTTCTTTATTGCATAGAACATGAGAAAAGTTAATAAGATTTGTTTTTGTCACAACAAATTTAATTAATATAAAATTAATAAAAACAAACCATAAAACCATCTTATATACTTTTTTCCATTTCATGTGCAGCAATTTTATTTCTAGATCACCAAAAACACTCAAATTTTCTGTCTTTTAAAGGTCCATCCAGACTAAAATAAGACAGAGCTGCAGCATCTGAGTCTGCATCCGTCTCTTTGTGTCCAGTAGCCTGGCTGCTGAGGAGGAAAGAGAAGAAGAGGGAAAAATAAAAACAGCTCAGTCTGTGCTGCCTGTGAGGAATTCAGGTTAGTCCCAGAGGACATCACACCTGTCGAGAAAGTAGGATGCAATAACACCCTCCATCCCAAAAAATAGATCTAAGGAAACATTAGCCAACATAATGAAAAATAGATCTAAGGAGCTGACAAAGCAGATGAAATAAGAATCGCTAACAGTTCTGAGTAATGTTGCTTTGATAGGCTCTGAGTATTTAAGCATCTGAATTTGCCAGAAGAATAAAAAAAAAACACATTTTTATTTAAACATGTAACATTAACTTTATTTAGCTGGGAAGTGTCAGCCAGGAGTAGGAGGGTGAAACAGCCGGAGGAAGCGCCCTCTTTTCCTTTCTTTCTCCCTCCTTCCACCGGGAGACCGCCCATATGTGCGTTTAATCCACATTTGCAAGCATCCTCCTATCTTCCTGCTATTTCACCATCACTGTCCTGTTCCCAAACTGCCTTTTTCCCTCCTCACATGCCTTTTCTCTGCAGTCGTCCCCCCGCCCCCCCCTCTCTCCCTCTCCCTTTCAGTTTTTTTTCTTTCCTCCTATTTATGAAAACGTCACTTCAAGTCCCTCCCTGTTTGAATCTCATTAGTTTCTTGTGTGTTTCTCCCTGTCAATAATCCTGAATCCAGACTCTCTCTATTTCCATCCCTCTCTATCTGTCAATCAGCGCCGCCTTTGAACTGAAAACCACTCCGACCAACTTCAACTCACTCAATCCGGGCGGCTCGGCTCCTTCTCCGGCTTCCTTTTTCTGCCAAGATTCCCCCCTTCTTTTTTTCTTCTTATATAGTTTTCTACCAACCGCCAGAGCTTTGGAAAACGCCAATACAAGACCCCGCGTTTTTCTTTTATATAAAAAAAACTTAAACTCGGACTACCGAGATCGCCGAGATCAAGGGTTTGAAAGTTTGTGTTGTGCCCCGGTCAGGAGAGCTTTCTGCACGGGAAACATGCCGCAGCTCAACGGCGGTGGAGGGGACGATCTGGGTGCGAACGATGAAATGATTTCCTTCAAAGACGAAGGGGAGCAGGAGGAGAAAATTTCGGAGAACTCCTCGGCAGAAAGGGATTTAGCAGACGTCAAATCTTCTCTCGTAAACGAGTCGGAAACGAATCAGAACAGCTCCTCGGATTCAGAGGTAAGTTTCGGATCGATCCCCGCTGAAGTTAGTCACAAAACAGAGGCCTGTGCATTTCCTAATTTTTAATGAAGAGTTTGGAAGGAGAAGTTCTCCAGCACCCTCGAGTTTAACGCAATCCTTGTGTTTCATTGCATTTCAAGGCGGAAAGACGGCCTCCGCCTAGATCTGAAACTTTCAGAGACAAAACGAGAGAAAGTTTAGAAGAGGGTGAGTTACTTTGGCTTGTTTTCTTCTTTTAACATTACATAAAATGTGCCTGACGGAGAGGGAATCTCCTCTCTAACTTAAATGTAGTTTTCAGGAAATTAAAAACTTTCCATGGCCACTTTAAAAAAGGTTTTCCTCTTTTTTTTTCTCCCCCCACCCCCCCCGCCATGTTAGCTGCGAAAAGGCAAGATGGAGGGCTGTTCAAGAGCCCACCGTACCCGGGCTATCCATTTATAATGATTCCCGACCTCACAAGCCCCTACCTTCCCAATGGATCACTTTCTCCAACAGCACGAACAGTAAGTTCATTTAATTTTCAGCTGGATTTCTACACACATTCCTCACCCACAGATACACACACACACTGTGTCCCCGAGTCGGGGTTTGTTTTGTCACCCAGAAGAGCTGCTGCCGACAAAGCCAAGTTTTCCCAACTGTTCCTGAAGTGGACAGTACGGCGGCACGCGCTCTAAAAAATAAAAACTTTATTAAATGTCTCTCAATCTCAGATTTAGCAATTTTGGAATGAAACACACGGCGATATTCAAATTTTTGTTCTTCCTCTTAATAAAATTTTTGCTGTGCGCCAGTAAAAACCCAGTTAAAATGAATTATTATTATTATTTTTAATTTAATTTAAAAACAACACTGCTGAATAATGCAGTTGATTCGTGCTAGCATAGCCTCATTTAAAATGCCCTTTTTTCTAACACAAGCATGGCTCTGACACAGTAAGCAGTGTAAAACCACACCAATAAAATAAATATGCAAATGAGTCTTTTCTGGGTGATTTGCATGTGACTGAAACGTGAAAGGAAATTTTATGAAAGGTGCACTTGAGTAAGCCCACATTAACTGTTATATTATAACATATATAAAAATATTTTAAAAGTTGTAATTTGTTTATCTGATTGGATTGCGCAGCTCTGCTTTGTTGTGCATGTGTGCCACCCTTTGCTTCCTGGAGGAGTCCACAGCCTTTACCCAACGCATGCTGATCTAAAGCCACATTTCTAAATAATTTCATGTTAGTTATTTAGTCACAATCAGCCATTCTGTAATTATGCACCTCACTGGTCCCACAGGGGGATGGAATACTTTAAAGCAGAATCATTTTCTCAACCATGAACCTTTAAAAAACAAACAAACAAAAAACTTGTGTTAAATGACTGCAATTACAAGTCTTTGCTTTAGGAGCTGTCATCTTATTTTACAAGGTTAAGGCGAAGACCAGGCCGTAGGAAATATGACCCACTAACTCAGCTTTGCTTAGCCAGATTTGTTACCTTCTGTGTTTTGTGTGTGTGTGTGAGTGTGTGCGCGCCCTGCATGTGCACACCTTGAAAATGAGCTCACACCTGACACATAATGCCTTCTTTTGTGTTTGACACAATTTCAGCTCTTGACTCAGTCGCCCATGGGCTCACGTGAAATAATTTGATCATTATTTATGAACGTTTTTCGCTGCTATGACCAATATGTTTTTACCACATGAGAAGGTTTTTGCTGTTTTTATTTTATTTTTAATCCTGCCTCTGTGTCTGCATGGTCCGGCCCTGGTTAACGCTGCTGCAGCCGGCTGGTATGTGGTGGGAATTAGTCACTGGTTGTTCTCATCAGCGCTGACACTAACACACGTTCACCACGGCTCTCGTGATTTTAAGTGAAGGACTTCCTTTTCTCAGTAGCAGAGTTTATTGGTTTTTCCTCTTTCTCTGTGTGTGTGTGTGTGTGTGTGTGTGTGTGTGTGTGTGTGCGTGTGTGTGTGTGTGTCCTGTTGCAGGTTTGCACAGCGCTCCTTTTGTTGTGCAGCTCAAATATGTGCATTCTGTCCAAGAGATGCTGCTGATCAGACTGCGTTGCCCTTTAATTTCTGTTTTCACACACAATTAAAAAAAAGAATTATATTTATCTTGCCTTACACCATCTGTAACATTTCCACACCTTGCAGGAAAAATCCGGACTAATTGTGCATATTTGCAGACAAACGTTATCCAGCCGACTCCACCTGAACAAGGTGGATCTGGCTCTCCGTGCTCTTCCTCCTGTCGGCCCCCTGCGTCTGCGGCGCCCTGTGTGTCCAACCATTAGGTCTTTGAAGTCAGCGGTGGCTGTAATATAAATCTATTAAACTTAAAGCTGGTATAAATAATTCACCTGGACATTGATTAGCTGTCTTGCTCTCTAACTTGTCACGTTAGGCTGTGAATATGACTGCCAGTATTATTACGAGAAGACTTCCTCTGTCTTGTCATGGAAGCCTTTGACTCTCGGCGCGCGCTCTCCCCCCCCCCCCCCCCCTTTTTTTTTGCTCACCTCTTCTTGCTGAGATATTTTATTTCCATTTTTTAATACATGTAGGCATTTAATTCAGTTTTTTGGTGCAGTACATCTGAGTAAAATAGTCATTTTCCAGGTCGTTTAGTCATTTTCATCCTTTAGCTGTCACCACGTCTAATCCTTGCGGGCACCTTAAGCTGTTTGTGTTATTTTTGCGTTTGCACAGCTTGAGAGGGTGGGAGAGAAAAATAATTTCTGCATAGTTTGACCTCTGGGAGTCATAACAGTGAGAATTTGTTTTTTCCCATCACCTCAGTCCAAACAGGTCTACAATTTAGCATCATTTAGTAATTTGACATGATGCTGTGCCCCCCCCACACACACACGTGCTGCAGGTTGAATTGGGGAAGCGGCCTGCCAAGTTCACCCTGGTTTTTCATCTCCTCTAACGGTCCTCCTTGTTCCTTTTACTCCCTCTACCCCACCCTCCCTTTTCTTTTCTGTGTCTACCTTTTGTTTCCTGCTGTTGCTAACGCGGGGTTTTGGGGGGGGAGGCGGCGGGGTTAACTCCGGAGCGGTAAGGCTAACATCACACCTCAACAGGTCTGAGGACGCAGAGGCCGAGGGGAGGGAGGTGGAGCAGGATCTGGGCGGCCAGCTCTCCTGCGTCGGGGCTGCAGGGCCGTAAATCCACCGGCTTTATTTAGTGCCTCTCGGACTTATGAATGTTAAGATATTTGACGCCACTCCTGGCCCCGTATAACTCTCCAGGCCCGGAGACTTTCTGACAGTGGTTTTGAGTTTCGACGTGTAATTACGAGGAGTTTTTATTCCTTCTTTTTAAAGAACAAGTAGAGGTGGGGCAAATTGGGGAGGTGCTGGGTGAAAATGCAACACCAGTGGAAGGAAGAAAAAAAAGATGCTCCCAGAAGCTGCCGTGATTCTCCTTCCAAGGCTTTGCGTTCTTGAAACAATAGCTTTGGTTCAGCCATGTTGTTGCTGCAGATTTCTGCAAAAACCAAATCCACACACACCATTTCTCATTAGGACATTACTGTTTTACTTAGCAGGATTCTCTAGTCAGATGCACAAGCGCCTCTTTGTGGTGCACGTGTATTCCAGTGGCCTTATGGGTGAGAAATAAAACCGTTTCTTAGACGTGTCAGTGGCGTGAACGTAACAATAGTGCATCATTTGGATTATGCGTGTTCGGCGGGTGTGAATGGCTTTTTTTGGCGGGACAAGATGAAAGATGGTTTTAATGCGGCTTTAAAGGGAAAGGGCCCACACCTTATCAAATTGGCTTTACATGTTAATCAGGGCCTAATTGTGTCCGCAGGGGTTTCCGTGGCACGACGTGGCTGCACACTCCCCCAACCTCCACCCCTCCTCTTTTTACCTCAAGCTGAAAAATGCACTCTGAATATAGTCGGAAGGTTGCGCTTCTTTTGTCTTGCAAATCACTTTTGTTTACAAGACTAAAAAAGTATGGCGGAAGAAGCGGCTCCCGCTCTCCGACTCCCTCCCACCGGTTCCTGCTCTTCCTCCTCTCCGCTGCTGCTGATCCCTCTCATCCTGAGAAAAGAAGAAGGAAACAAAAAAAAAAAAGGTCCTATATTTCCTTCAACTCAATAAACGGCCATAAAAAAGTACAATCTGCTTTGGATTTGAGAAGTTGAGCTGGAGAGCTGGCGGTGGGGGAAGCAGAGTTTGGCACCATTAAACTGAAATTGTGGTCTGCTTGACATTAGCGGTGCACAGCACATTCTCAGAGCTTAATTAGTCCAAACTGTAATTGTTCATGGTCTGCCAATAGGAGTAACGCTCAGGAAAAGTGGAGTTGCACTAAATCGGCCCGGGGTTTTTAAAACAATAAATCACTCGCATATTTGTGCCGTGATTCAGTTGGAGGCTCGACCTCTCCCATCGCGACATGTGGTAAATTGTAAAGTCAATGAATCGCAGATGTAGGGATGGGGGGGTGCTGGGGGGGGGGGGGGGGGGGGGGTGCTGATGGGAGACAGAGGGAGTACAGTCAGGGTCTGTCCCTGCCTGCTCAGTGAATGGAAACGATTGGTGCTGTAAATTATTTATTTAGAAAATATATTTAAAATAAGTCCTTTTCTTTCAGCCGGTGG